TGCTCAGGGGAAATGCATGCAAAGACAGACCTGCAATCCATCATAAGAGGTGCTGTATTGGGGCTGATCGGCTAGGTTGAAGGGTGATGTCTTTCTGCATTGAAGGTTTAAAAATATTTCCTACACTACAGCACACGAAAAATAGCTATTTTTAAACAACAGCTAGTCAATGTGATACCGGCAGCTAGAGAGCATCCTGGTGCTGCATGGGATGAGCAGGCTTCTTTCTCATGGCAGAAAGCAGATGGGCCTGTTTAAGACAAGGAATAACTCCCTGACCTGTTTTGTTTTGGTCCACATGCCTTGGTTAGTCTAAAATATTGCTAAAAATGGGAAAAATAGTTATCACCATGTTTAACATTGAAATTCAAGCCAACTCTTCTTCTGTTTCTAACTAACAGTCAATGTACTGAGTTGGGTTTTAGAGAGGATCTGCACATTTTGTTTCATGTGAACTCAGGTATAACAGTTCAGCCTTTATTTTCCATGTATGTAGGGAGCCCGGGAGGAAGAAACACCTTCTCACATGCTTGCCCATGCAAAGAAATGCTGCTGTAGTTTTGGTCAGAGCAAATGCTCAGAACCTGGCAATATTTAACACAATTTGTTCCAAACCTGTAAAGATACAAAGATGTAGAAATCTTATTTCTTAAAGTCGTCAGACTTCATCTTATTTCTTTGTGAAGTACTGATATGGATAATAACATTCAGCCAAACGTAGACTGAACCCTCTGTGGTTGGCAGCTACCTGCATGTCTGGTCTGCTGCATAAATGATGCCCAACCAGGGATGATTTTGCAGTGCAGCTTGGTCACGTGTATACCTACTGGATTTGAAGAAAGCACTTTAGTCAGAATATATGCAACACAAAATGAATCACTCAATCTCATTACCAAAACATCTCAGATAAACCCTAAGATGTAAGCATTTTGTACATTCCCTAATCCCCTTTTTTATTTGGATTTTGCACATTGCGTAGCAGAATCACATGCTGGACTGTCTGTCTTGTAATTATTTTTCAGGAATTTTTTCTTTCTCGCTTCTTCCTTTTTGCCTTCTCAGTTATTGAAAGAAAAAAACCCACCCACATTAAAAAGGTGATTAATTACAATTTTTATTGAATTTCAAAAACACTAGTACTGTATTGCTTCTAAGAGATGTATTTCTGCTGTGGGTTTTCACCACAGACCTGTTAGATCTCTTTCTGATCCACGTTCGTAGGTCTAGGGGTAACAGTGCCAGCTCTGAGATGGTAATAGTGAATTTTGTGTCTCTGATGAAGCCAGGAATCAGCTGGGTTACAAAGAGGTCCAGACCCCCAGGTCTCAGGGGAATTGCAGGCACTATAAAGCTAGCTACATGGGCAAGACTACACAGGATCCATCGTGTCTCAGAGAATAGATCACTCTGATATCAGTCTTAATGAAACATCTGAAAACCCAGTTTCCTCATCTATGTTTCCTGTACTTTGCAAATAAACATGGTTGTTGAAGGGAAAAAAAAAAAAAACGGTAAAAAAAAGAAGAAAAAGAAAAAAGAGGAAAAACAAAAGAGGAAAAAAAAAAAGAAAAAAGAGAGGAAAAGAGGAAGAAGAAAGGAAATGAAGTGCCAGTCAGGAATAGCATAAAGGCTCCTCTCCCCACCCTGTCACTGCAGTTAAAAGCAGAACATTTTAATCAATCAACTACATTCAGGTGGTCCCAATAGTGACAAATTTCAAAATCCTTTGAAGATAGCATTAATCTTACAAGACACATCAGCAAAAAATGTATCAAATCAAAACAGCAGCTTTATGGATGTCTCTTCATCATGTCAACGATTTCCTGGTACAAAACCTCGGTTGCATCAAGCCCCAGTAGGAAATCCAGGTGGTTCCACTGGGGAATCACCTTGTGGTGGACCAGGTTCCTGATCTGGGGGAGCAGGAGGGCAATGTCCTGGGAATCAGCCAGGCAGTCCACTCTGCCACTCCAGATGGCTGTCGGCACTTTCATGTCCTTCAAATCATAGAGCGGCGGACCCATCTGAAGAGATGGAAAACTAGGGTTTCATAAAGGAGAGATATTGCTGTGATGCAATAAAATACGCACCGTGGAAGAGCAACTGTTATTCTTTGGGAATTAAGGAAAAAAAAAACCAAAACAAAACTGGAAAGGTTTTCTTCTAGAAAGAAGAGAAATTTTATTAAAAGACGTGGTGTATCCTTATGCACTACAATTTAATGAGTAAATTAAATTAGTAAATTTAATCTAAATTAATTAGAAAATTTGTTCTGCACTGTTAGAAATTCTGGTTCTGATGCTACACATAATTTGATCAACTTTGATAAGCAGGCAAAATTTTAGCTGCCCTGATCTAATGCTGGTGGATCATTGTGCTTCAAGCAGGAGGTTGGACTGGAGACCTCTAGAGGTTCCTTTCAACCAGCTCTGCTGTGGTTTGTGGTTACACTTCATGCAAGCACTTGCCTTTCCTTCAGCTTCATATCAGCAGGGAAGTGTTCAGAAGCAACAGCAGGAAAGTGTTCAGAAGCAAATTCTTGAAAATAAGACACATCTGGAGGGTTGCTTTAGCTCAACACCATGAGGACTTGCCATCAGGTGATTTGCCAGCATCATATCTCCTTACCTGCAGTGTAATTATTCCAGTTAAGAAGCATGCCACTTTCTGAACAATTTGATTTTTTCTTGCTTAAGGAAGAAAGAAGTTTTTTTTCTATGTCTCTGGTACTCTTCTTGCCATAGAACAAGAATTGCCTGAGCTCCCAAAGGATGTAGAGTTAACTGCTAACCATTCACCTTATGACTTTAGGTCTGGGTGGCAGAAGGGCTTAGCACCTTGCTTTCCATCATGGCTAGACAATTTACAACCAGCATGGGGACTTCGGTTTTATAGGTTTCAAATAGTAACTGGTCCCACAGTCATTATTATTCCTTTTCTGTGGCAGATTATGGACTCTAACAAAAACACTGGATAAGTGGAAAGCATCTGATACTTTATTCCATTTAGAAGGTATTTGTAAAACATAGTTTAGAATAGAAAATACTGTTGTTCCAAGTGGACGTCCTGCTGACTTGCTACTGGCATGCCTAATTTGTGAAGAGAGGATAATAAATTCAGAGGAATCACACCAGGCACGAATGGGAACAGACCACAAACTTGGCCATTTGAAGCAGCTTACTTGTCTATAGTGAGGACTGTTACACGTGCTCCCCCCATCATAAGCTCTCAGTGTACCACTTTGAACTCCCTGCAGCAAATTCAGACATCCAACAGTCTAAATGAAATCATAGTTCTGCGAGGGTGCAATCAGTTTAAAAGAGGAAACTCAAAAGCTGGTTTTTGCCATTGAACTGGCAATAGGCCAAAGGCCAACTGGCAGTTGTCTGCCATAGGCCCAGTACAATTAATTATTGTCATTAATTTGGATAAATGAAGAGAGATTATGTTTATATGGTTTGTGGTTACACCAGACAGGAGGAAATTAAACATGTTCTAGAAAATGGGATTAGAACTCAAAATATTCCTTGTACACTGAAGAATTGGCCTAAAATGATGTGATCAAAGATGTGCTGGTTGGAAGGAGACTCTGAACATCTCTTGTCTAACTGGAGCAGGACTATCAGCAATACAAGGTCAGGGTGGCCATGGCTTGACCCTACCACGACCTGAACCCCCCCAGAATGGGACCCCCCATCTCCCTTGGCACCTGTCCCAGGGCTGCTCCCTACTCTGTGGGAAGAACGGTTCCCCACCTCCAACCTGATCCCCTGGGCTGTAATTTGTGCTCATTGCCCCTAGTTTTGCTCTTTGTCACTCACTACTCATCAGATAAGCTGAAGTCCAGCAAAGAATCTTATAAAAAATTATACATAGAAAACAAAAACTGGTGGACATATACAGAATAAAGACTAACACCATCGAGCAAGAGCACTTCAGAAAATGGAGTGTGTATTCTTGCTACAAAAATCACAAAGTTATTTTGGGGTCTCTGAGCAGGAGTGCCACACTAGGAAAAAGCTGTGCTCTGCATACAGCCTGCGGCACACACTTCAGAGAAGATGCACGAACTGGTCAGGGTTCAGGAGAGACCAAGAAGAGGCCATTTGAATCCATGATCTATAAAGAAATGTGCAAACAGATGGGTACATTTAGCCTAGGGAAGAGAGAATGAGGGAAGCATAGCACAATTTCAGTGTCAGAGGGGCCCTGATAGTGACTCTTTTCCATGCCCACAATGGGAAGAAGGAGAAATAATCAGCTTAATTGGTAATTAGCTTAACTGGATGCTGTCCAGGAGAATCTCTGCTGCAATCTGACCCCTAACGGCACTTGGGCTGCAGGGCAAGACTAGAGCTAGTCTGAAATAAGACTCCTGAAATGTGCCTGCTGTGGATGCAGGGTCCTCAGCTCCAAATGTTTCTCTTTGCAGATCCACTGCTTTGGGGCCACTCTGATGATGTACAGGCAGCTCTAGAAGCTGCTGAGCATTTTATGAAGGCGTGAAAACAAAACCGACAAAGATACCACTGATGTGGTGCAGCACCCAACACAAGAGACTGACCACAAAGGACCGTTAAAATACTCCATACTCTGTTTTGCGTAGGAAAGTAGATGTGAAAGTTTACCTGCAACCAGTGGATTACATTTGTACTGAAGTCCCCACTGGGGAGTGTGCCGTGTACACATGTACTCGGCTCTTAAAGGAAATGAGCGCATTTCACAACGGGTTTCACCTGGCTCCATGTAACAGGCAGCCAAGGCTTTGTCCTTCAGAAGGACACCAAGGGCCCTCTGCAGATTTATTCCTACATACCACATTTATGTTCTTCCAGTAAAATCCAAAGAGCATAGACAAGATGCTCTTGCAGGTCTTCCGAGCAGGCAATTTGCAAAGGACCAGCTCACACAAGGCAGTGTGTGGTAGGAACTGTTTGGTGCCAAACATCTCCTGTAAAATTGCAAACGTACAAATTGCAAACGTACTCATAAAATACAAAGACTGGTCACGCTTTGCCTCAAAGCACCACCACTTCATAGCTTCTATTTTACTCCCATATTGAGGTATGAAGTTGCCCACGAGTGGACCCTTCCTTGCACCCCATTAAATGCTTCTGTTTGATGGTTTTTACATGCATCGTCTCTTACATTCATTGTACTCTTGCATCAAACGGTAGGGCTCAAATCACAGTCTCTGCATCAGTTTTATTCACCAATGTTTTCACACCTGCTGTGTGCACGTTTGCCCATACCACTAGCTCTCTTAGCTCTAATTCTGCCAGAACATTTTGGGGAGTAAATTCAGGACAGGACAGAAAGACTCTGGACTGAGATATGTGATTCCCTTTGTTATGTAAACAGATGCAGCATGGAGTTCCTCTCCCTGTAAATGATTTGAAATAAACTGTGTAGGTAATTTCACAATCTCTATGAAAAACTATATTCATTTTAGCTATGCAGAATATAGTCTGGACCAACATACCTTAAGCCTATAGTCAGAAAAGAATGCAAGCTTTTTCAATGGACTTCGAACAAATATAACCGTGGCCACAGGTGCTAAAGCAAAGTACATCTTGATTTTCTGAGCCAGCTGAGGCGTAGTGGAAAAGGCTATAAAAGCTGAAGAAAACCCCACAGCTCCTGTCTGAAAGACATCAGAAAATACCTTTGAACCCCAGTCTGTAGTGCAATTAGCTGCTGGAGCTCAAGGGCAACTTGGTGCTTTCTACAGGAATTGGAGGACTGCAAGGCATGTCGAACAGAAAATCACTGAGCATTTAATTATGGCTTTAAAAACCATCTGTTACAGTACTGTGGGCTCCCATTTTAAATGGTAAAATCCAGTGTTCACCACATGGTCCCCCCCAGCAGAATAACAGCTGTGCAAACACTGTCTCCCACATCACCTTCAGTAAATAGCTACAGGTTTCTCGTCTCAGCAAGACACACAAGGCAGAGAAACATGAAGTCCTCCACATGGGAGGAAAAAAACCCCACGCCACAGTACCAGGTGGGTAGACTGAGTAAAAAGAAACACACCAGACAAAAATCAGCTTTAGGAGAAGGAGATGGGAATTGCAGGGGACAATAAGATTACCAAAACTGCACCCTGGCAGTGATGAAGGCTACACTGGCCAGAGCGCAGGTAGCAGGTCCAGGGAAGAGGCTATTGCCTCTGCTGAGCACTGGGGAGGCCACAGCTGCATACTGGGACTTTTAGGTGCTGCCCAGTACAAGACCTATGTAACAAACCAGAGTGAGTCCCATGCAGGGCTACTGAATTGGGGGGGCTGGAGGCCAGGAGAGGCTGGGGGAGCTGGGCTTGCTCAGCTGGAGATGAGGAGGCGAAGTGGATCCAAGAGCATCTCCCTCTTCCCAAAGGGGTCCTGGAGGTGCTGGGGCCGGACTCTGCTCGGAGGGGCACAGCGAGAGCCCCAGAAGCACTGGCACAAGCTGCAGATCCCAAGCCAGAGTTTCTCTTACCAATACACAAAGGATGTACGGTGTTACTTGTCATATCAGTTATGACACAATGCAAACCACTTCTCCCCTGTCTCTTTCCAGCTGCATTACAGGAAAGGGTATGACCGAGAGGGAGAGCTTTGTAACATTGACATGCTGTTTGCATCACCTGTTAACACAACAGTCCACGTCTACCCAGGAGGCAGAGGGAGGATAGCAGGTTGATTTCGATCAGTTGAATAAGAGTCAACACTGCATTCACTCCCTAAATAGAAATAAAATAATGAAAAGAAAAGCTCTAACCACTTGCCCTTTGACTTGATCATAGTGAAAAAGGCAAGAATTGACTACATTTAATTCAGAGAAGGACATTTATAAGTGCAAATCTATGTGTGAATTGTATCACCTTACTTGGGAGCAAAGTATCTTTCAGCAGATCTAGACGTCACTTAATGATACTGGGTTTAATACAGTTTAAAAAAATACTTTGTGCACTGGAGAGTGCACCTGCCACAAGAGGTGGTGAAGGCAAATGGGAACAGCAGGACGTTTTACGCAAAGTTATGGGCAATAGGTCCAGAAACAGATGCTGAAAGTACTGGGCAGGGTTCTTCCTTCCGACAACAGCTGTAGATGTTACCGACCACAAGGTGATGGATCACCGGGCAGAGAAAACTGGGCTGGACCAGCCTCTGGATCTGACCCAGCAAATTGGATTTCGGTCCCCCGTTCTCACACAAACAAAGGCAGTTGGATTGGAGTTGTTTTCCTTCAGTCGGAGCCATAAACACCATCCACATCCACACTTAGAAACTGAGACCCAGCTCTACTGATGTTTTTCCCACACTCACCTTTATAAAAGCAAAGGTTACTAGCCCAGCCGAGGGGTGGCACAGCTCCTGCAGAAGGAGACAGGGAGATGTCAGCCCCTCGGATGGATAGACAGTATAGGGAAGCGGTGGCTGGCATGCAGAGGAGACAGAGACAGGGCACACAGCGGCAGCAGAGGACTGATCATCACCTCTCACTAGTGTGTGGCGCAGCGCTCTTCCATCTCTCTTAAGACAACCCTATTTGACCTGTCTGGAGGGTGGGGTAGCAAGAACAGGGAAGACTAAATGTAAACACACTGAAATATTAAACATATAAATCATTAGGCAATACCATAGTTTGGAAAGTACAGTTGCCCAGAATTTGTTTGTGCAGGCCAGTTAAATACTGTTTAGGCAGAGCCAAATAACTATGGATGTTTAAAGGCGATTTCCATCAAAAAGTGATTTAATTGATAACTCTGAAGACAGTTTCCAGCTTCACATTTCAATGGCCATTTTATTTATTTATTACAAGAGAAATAATTAAGTTATTACAAGGGAAGATTAAAGTCTAAAATGGATTTCCAATGGCACATCTTCTGTTTTAGAAATGATGATGTGCCAGACAGAGCTCTACAACTCTTTGTATGGACAGAGTTGCTAAACGTGAGCTGGAGAGTAAATCCCAGGCAACACTCTCAAAATATCTGTACTGGGTCTGGCTGGGATGGAGTTAACTTTCTTCATAGCACAGGGGTGGGACACAGCCAATTGGCCAAAGCAATACTCCATACCATACAATGTCACCCTCAGCGATAAAAACTGGGGAGTGGGGTGTTGTCTTCCAAGACAGCCGTCACTCGGAGACTGGCTGAGCATCGGTCTGGGAGGTGGCGAGTTATTGCCTATGCATCACTTGTTTTTATTCTCTTTCCTTCACTTACTGAATTGCCTTTCTCTCGACCCAGTTTTCTCACTTTTGCTCTTCCTATTCCCCCACCTGTCCCACTTGGGGCGGGGGGTGAAGCCAGCAAGTGGCTGTGTGAGTGCTTAGCTGTTGGCTGGGGTGAACCCACCGCAACATCCTTGTTCTTCACATCCTTATAGGAAAGTACAAAGAGTGCCTGAGCACCCTGTCCTACATACATGCCAGGAGCAGGGCTAGTTATCCCTCTCCGTCACCCATGTTGGGGCTGTGGCTGTCTTCTGCCCTGCCTTCCTGGATTGTTTTGCTTTGGAAATCACAGTGCAGGCTCAACAGGGAAAGATGTCTTCTGGCTGTCAACCTGGAGCAGACCTGAGGTGTGTCCAAGGTATGCACCTCGATCTGGCAATTGGTCCCACTCTTTAAACACAGACATAGTAGAACGTTGGTTCATCATTTGGAGATTTGGAGGTTGAGAGTGTCTTGCTTTTGGGGTACAGAAGCCACACTGCATTGAGTAAAGCACCTTTGACTTTCACCTTCCAAGGAAACAGATAACGGAAGTCTGTACTCCAGGGAAAGGGCAGGGCAACTCTGGTCACGCTCATCTGCAGGCACCGTCCTGCCTGAAAGGTGCAAGACCGAGCGCACCCCCTGCCCCAGGAGGTGCCTGTGGGTGTGTGGGAGCAGGGGGTGAGCACAGGTGTGCATGCATGGGTGTGTGCATGTGTGTGCGCCAGGGAACGGGTGTCTGTGGAGGGGGCTGTGTGCAAGGGGGTGTGTGTGCACGCATATGTGTGCAGGGCTGTGCATGCGTGCATGTGTGTGTGTAGGGGTGTGTGTGCATGGGGGTGTGCACGGGTGTGCGTGAGGGGGTGTGTGTGCACGAGTGTGCATGCAGGGGGGAGTGTGTGTGCACACACGTGTGTGCAGGGGTGCGTGTGCGCATATGCGTGCACGCCTGTGCGTGCACAGGTCTGTGTGCAGGGGGGCGTGCGTGTGGGGGTGTGCACGGAGGGGGTGCGTGTAGGGGCGTGTGCGGGGGCTGTGTGTGCAGCAGCGTCCATGCGGGCCGGCTGTGTGGCGGGGCGCGTGCGCAGGGTT